TTTGTAGTGTGTATAAAATGAATCGTGCTTTCGTGCTGTTTTCATGACAAATCGAATACAGCCAAGGTAACTAAGGGGATCATCGGCATTGCTCGATGACCCTACAAAGAGTGAAAATTTGGTCAGAGCATGAATATTCCATCTAGAAGATTGCATGATTTCGGCGGAGTCTTCTGTCAGCTACCTGCCCCAAACTTTCCAAAATAATGCAATGGAAGAGTTTCCCAGGAGTAGACAATAATGCGATGTTACAGTAATTGGAACAGTCGGTCACCCGATCTCCTTTAAATCCACCAACAGTTATCCTTCGCTTAAATGCTCAAGGATAGCTCATTGAGATCCACATTTTGTACAGTTGGTGTGAAGTTTTTCTGTTACTCCCTTTCCTTCACATTTGATTAACTCGTGGGGAATTTGATCCAAACGGTAGGCCTTTTACACTGTGAGGTGAAACATCAGCACCTTTTGGATTTCCAGTTTTGTATGGAGATCTACGCTAACTTCTGCTGTTGACAGGAAATTAACGGTGGGAAGGGACGAATCTGAAGGATAGCAGTTAGCTATTGGAAATGTTCAGCCCATCTTTTAAGGCTTTCCCTCTTATTTGCCAAGTGAACATCCTTAGCTTGTTGGACGAGAACAGGCTGAAATCTCCTTCTTACTCTACAACTGTCGCACATTTTTGAACACTATAAACCAGTGTTCCTTTCTTGCCGCCTTATCGATCGCCCTGATTTTCTACTCCATGCAAAGTTCCCTCCCCCTATAGCTCAGGATGACTGCGCGAACAAGATGGCCATGAGCGGCCTGCTGGATGCTGCTGGGTTTTGTATACTCCTTCTGTGCCTGGTTCCTCTACTGTCTGTAACTCAGGGTAGTTTCGATCATTTTTATGCCAATTACGATTTTCGCCGAAGAAGCAGAATCTGTGAAACCTCTGTAGATTTTATAAAAGTTGATATTTTCGGACTGGTCACTAAAGGTGGTGCTAAAATAACTATCTACCTCCTTTCGGCGCGCGGGCTACGCCATTTTGCCATATTTTTGCCTGTCAACATCCACCAGGTAATGTGTTTGAACCAGGCGATGTCGATGTGACGCGGCTAATTTTGGGCAAAGTTCCGCCACGACCGTATGGTGATGACGTCCAATGCAAACTTCACACACACACACACACACACACACACACAC